CTTTAATGTAATTGCTTTTATTACTTAATAAAGTTTCTACTTTGGCATAACAAAAAAAAAAAAAAAAAAAAAAAAATCTTGCAGAATATTTGAAATTTCTCTTTTTAGTTAAATTATATGTTTTAGCTGATACTTCTTGTCATTGTAAGACATCAAAAATGACAAAAGGAAATAATCTATGTTATCTAAACTTTGGATCATGATAATGCATAAGGTGATTAGCATATTTTTTTAAAGATATATGAAATGATTGACTTTTATGACCTTCAACACTATATAGGAAGAGTATGAAAAATTTTGCAGGAAGAAAAATTTTATCTTTATATTTATTAAAAGGCTTACAGCCATGTGGCATGTATAATACTTGAGATACAGTACCTATTTCAGTATTATATTCATTTTGTGATTAATTATTTAAACAGTTAACAAGATTTCAAAAAGAATATAAAGTAAGCACTTTTTAGTAATTGGTACATTGTTGACGTGTATAATCTCAGAAGGCCTGAGTTTGTTTGCATTACCAATTGTATTATTTTTTATAAAGTTATCCAAATTATAATCAATATTATCAAAAGCTTTATAATCACTTTCACTATCTGTTTCTTGAGAATAACCTGTATAATGCTCAGATTTTTGTGAATTGATATTCATAACAGTAGTCATTAGACTCAAAGTTTCAGGAATTTTACTTTCAGACAAGAGGTTTAAAGCATTCTCATCAAGTATAAAGTTATTTTTAAATAATTTATTATATGCAAAGAGCCATTGAAGTGCAGCTGCAACTTTGCATTTTCTTACTTAAAGTATTTTTTTGAGTTGATAATTAGTAGATGTTTCTTTCTAATGAACACTACTTTCAAATGTTTATATAGTTTATATATTGGTAATGATAATACTTTAACCAGTGAACTTGGATTCTGAGGTAATGTTATAACATGCCTTTTAAGTTTGTGATATATATATTTTTTATTTTTTAACTGAATAAGATTCATACATAAATATTTAAGAGAAATTAAAATTTGCTCTAAAATTGTTAAGTCTTGAAGGTACAACAGAGTAGGTCTAATCTACATATTATTAACTAGTGATAATAGTGAAATTTTATGTTTCTTTAAATAATTATAGCATTTATTACAGGTATATAAGTCAAAGGGATTATTATTATTAGAGGGATCATTATAAATAAAACCAGCCCTATGAAAAAATATATACAAAAATAATAAAGAAAATTACCAATAATATACAGAATATAATATATATATACTGAATAATAAGTTTATATAATAAATTAATATTGAATTTTTATACTGGATAGATACAGAATTATTTTTGATATGGAATGCATGCTAATTATTATACTGAATAGATATGGAATTATTTTTGATACAAAATGAATGCTAAATTGTTATACTAGATAGATATGAAATCAATTTTGATACGAAATGAATGCTGAATTGTTATACTAGATAGATACAGAATCATTTTTGATATAGAATGAATGCTGAATTGTTATACTAGATAAATACGGAATTATTTTTGATATGGAATGAATGCTGAATTGTTATACTAGATAGATACAGAATCATTTTTGATACAGAATGAATGCTAAATTGTTATACTAGATAGATATAGAATCATTTTTAATACAGAATAAATGCTAAATTGTTATACTGAATAGATACAGAATCATTTTTGATACGAAATGAATGCTGAATTATTATACTGAATAGATACAGAATCAATGTTAATATTATAGAAATAAAATTATTTTTTATAATACAGTCTGGGATTTTACCAAATTTGGAATTGAGTTCTAAATTTGAAAATCCGAGTTCTAGAATAATCTATGAAATTTGATTGGCTATGTCACGCCCTCTTTTCTTGAGGGTTTCACAAGATTTTATACTATTACTTGTTACTAAATGATATATGAATAGCTAGTATAAAACGTCTACTTTCGATCATCCCAATTAATCCCATATTATAAACTGATTTTAAAAAAGTAAGTGAGACCTTAAGATCGGGTTTTCTTGGCACATTTGTTAGTTGCAGTAAAAGATCTTGTTAAATAAAATTTTTTTTTTAGTGTCTGAAAGTTACCAAAAACAAAAAGCGCGAGATCTTAGGTGCATTTTCGAAGCTTTAGTTAAGAAGTATAGAGATGCTGAATTAAGCCCTTGTGAAACAAAAGAACGAAAATACTGGAATGTAAATGGCCCAAAAACAGCTGAGAAACTGTTACTTTTTCAAACCTACATTCCCGAGCTTGCTAATTACCCTTTAGAATCCCATTCGCTTTGCTAAACACATTATAATCAAATCGTCTCATCTAATCTATTTTATAAACATCTTTCTAGTTTAGTTCAAGAAAGCCGTCTCGACACTAATATAAGTACCCAAGCCACTAGTTATACTGTTCTAGCGGATGAGCTTGACAGAACTAGAAGGCTGTTGAAAAGTGCTGAGCAAGAAAATAAGGAACTTTGTGCCAGAATGGAACAGAATTGGGCATATTTAGAAGAGCAAACGAATGAAACAGAAGAATTAAAAAAACAATTGCAACAAGCCTGTGAAGAAGTAGATGTGTTTCGATATTTGTATGAAGGTCAGTATAAAAAGAATAAAGTTCTTACTGAACAGTGGAACTCAAGGTTTTCTAGTCGGCAAAAATGTATCGATGCAGTTATTCAAATAGCAGAAGCAGAATGTGAAGCATTATTTAATGATATTGGTAGGTCTATTATCGTATTACTCTAAATTCTTTGTATTTGTTTCTTTTATTTACAATTCTTTACTAATATTTTTTATAGAGTTATTAATAAATAATAATAATAGGTTTTTCTTAGAAAAACTTATGAAATATAACTTGTATGAATGGCTCAGTAGGCATAACCAGGTTGTTGTTAAATTCGTTGAAGCTTTAGTTTAAAATAATCAAGCTACTAATATTTCAAGCCAAGAAAAACTTTTTAAGACAGTTGTTGCAGTGGATTCTATATACGAGGCTCGGCATGGAAAATATGTGTCAGAAATTCAACTTGCCACCTCAGCTATAAAATATTCAATCGCACGGTCGAAGATAGTTATTGATATTGATAACCATATTACAAGTTCAGGGAGCTATTCTCAATTCCGAAAGTGGCTAGAAGAATTGTCAAGGCACGAAGAGCCATTGCCTGAGGGTCTTTTATTTTTTGCATTTGATAATGAACAGAGAGGTCAAAAGAATTATCTTGACCAAGGGTTTAATACTGTTGTTTACCATACTGTTACTAGTTTTGTCGCTTTCAATATGGAATCACAAAACAAGATTCAACATACTGACTTATCCTGGATGTATTATTCCCTTAATAGGTTACAATATGAAGAAATTTTTGATGTCAGCCCTGAAATGCAAAAAGTCATTGATAAGGAACTATATGCCTATCTTGCCGAGGTTCTTGAGTTGTTATCTGAAGAAAAATTATCTTCTACTAACATTATTGATTCTCTTGTAGCATCCATGCCAACTAATGCTTCCAAAATGAAATCATGTTCTGAGTGCAATCTGCAAGAAATCGAGAATCGGAAAAGGCTATGTCCAAGATGTGGGACACAGCTGCCAACATTATCAGAAATTCAAAAAGAAAAATCAGTTGATATTGAAAGCAATACAATTGATCATTTAACTAATAAACTTACCTTTAAACATTATAGGGTTAATGATGAACAAAGTATGACAACACGTGCTTCTAAGATCAGTCTTACTCAACAAGTTGCAGATCCAGGTGTTAATGTTCCCGAGGTTTATATTCCTGACCCGGTTAACATTAATCCTAATTCGATTGCAAACGTTAAGAAAATTCTTTCACATATAGAGGTAATAGCGGGTATTAGGGATGGAACTCGTAAGTGGGTGGCGGTAACCTGCGATGGTGTTCCATACCGTTATGCTATCAAGTTGAAGGAAAAGTTCTCTTGGTTGGTTATTATACTAGGACAATTGCATGAAGAAATAAATATGCTTCGTGCATATGTAGAATTGAATTGGTAAATGTTTTTATTAAGATTTATATTTTAATTGCTTTTACTTATAAAATTTTTTTTTATTTTATATAGGAAAATCGACCTAAAGCGATTTGCAATATGTCAGGGATATCGTACTGAAAATCAGCTTGCCTACTTTAAGAAATTTGCTGATTATCATAAATCCTGGGACTCAATTTGTAACATATATCGACAGGCAATAGCGATGAAGCTTTTATGGCCATATGTGAAAAATCATCCTGAACCATCCGTCGATGAATATCTTTCCTGGGTTAAAGAACAGCAAGATTCTCTCTATCAAATAAAATATGAGCAGGTTTGTTATTTGCAGTATTATTCAATGTATTTTGATGAAAATTAATACAAACCTAATTTTTTTCTAAGATATTTATTTACCTCTAGGCGATAATTAATTATCGAAAAGTGGTAAGAACTAACAATCCATTTTTGAAAAGGGCTGTGAGAAGAGCATTTTCTTCTATCTGGTCTGCGAGGCGTCATCCTATCTATCGGCTAATTGAAGTTGCTGATGAAGTTCAATTGATGCAACTTTATCCTGAAATACATAGTATTGTTGAAAAAAATTTCGTAGTCTCCAAATCAGGTATTTACGAACAGCATTAGGGGCTTGATGCAATTATGGAGGAGGTGAACAAGGCCTTAAAATTGTTAATACCTCCTGTTCCATAGCATCATCATTGGAAAATCGTGGCTCGTAATTGCAAAAATTTTTTAGAAGTAAAATTTATTTTTAATTTGTTGTTTATAACTGCATTTTACTGACAACAATTTTAGCTTAGGAATAATCTATTTCAAGTAATTGGATATAACGATTATCAACCATCGGGACCAAGGACTCGGCCAGAATCGACTATGGAATGTCAAAGATTTAGAATGCTCCTACGAAATTTTGATTATGTAAATCCAACGAACTTGAAACCTTGTCAAAGCCTAGGCGAAGATTGTGAATTGGATGAAAATTTGAAAATTTTTACACATTTTGCTAAAGATGCTCGACAAAATTTATTATCAAAACATTTATTAACAAAAATAATTCTTTTTTACTTAGGCCAATACTGATTACAAAGAAAGAAGCTAGGGCTCAAGATGCTAAAGAAAATATGACATGACCTGAACTTTTGGTGAAAATCGAAACCCTTCTTAAACAACTTGGCGAAAATGTTCAAAAAAAATATTCTCAGATAAAATCAAAAAAAAAGGATGAATTATTTGAAATACTACAAGAAGTTAAATCTCTGCTTAGTTTAGATAATGAGGTAGATAATGAAGATTTTTTAGAAGATTCGGAGGTGACTCAGCCAGAGTCATAAATATAGATTTTATGCAATTTATCTTCATCAGTTAAGTTTTGTCAATATATTTTCAATTTATCTACTAAATCTTTAGTATTTTGCATCTTTATATTTGATTAGTAGAGTTCATTCACACCATAGATATTGCGAATTACGTTTTGTATATTTTATTAGAAATAATAAATTATTTAAGATATTTATTTTTTACATTGATTTTTTATTCAATTTTTTTTTTCGTTTTGTAACTGTAATTATTTGAACATTTAAAATAAAGATTTGAAGTTTTTCTTCAATATATTTATTAGCAATGAGTAACATTGCACT